AAGGCGAGCACTCTACCACTTGAGCCACAGTTTTCTGCTTATGTGGTGCTGAGGAATTGAACCCAGGGCCTCATGCATGTGAGGCAAGCACTCTACCACTGAGCCGCCTTCACAGCCCCTTGAGTTTTTTTAATTTATTTTTCTTTTTAGGTGGGGTCTTGCTTTTGCCTAGCTAGCTGGACTGGAATCACCTTACCTAATCATCCCGTGTTATTGGGATTACACTTGGGATACCCTGACTTGTTTGTTAAGGGGGGGTGTGTGTGTCAGTTTTTAATCCCTATATTCTTGAAGGATACATTCATCCTATGCAGCAGTGGTCTGACCCATAGTCCCATGCGGAGCTACTCCATAATCGGGCTCCCTAGATCCCAGATGGCTTTGGGTATGCATCCTCTTCCTCACCAGCCTTTCCCAAATTCTCCATAGCAGAGCCCCAGAAACACTGTCAGCCCTGTCAGCTTCGCTGTCCGCCCTTTTCAGGACCAGACTTGGCTTCTGAATAAAGGCTACGCTGTCCACAGGCAGCCCCAGCCAGGGGTTGAGCATGGTAGATTGTCTGTAGAGCCTGGCCAATTTTTGCCAAGTTCAGACTCTTCTAATTAGAAGACCCTCACTCAAGCCTCGCATTGCATTGCGGGGATGTGGTCATCTCGTGCCTGCCCCAGGCACTTGATCTCTGCCGGGTCCTGTCCTTAGCCTTTTAGTCTTCTGTGGGTTATTATATCGTGTCCCAACTGGCTCTCAGCCCTGGCTTCCCCCGACCCCCAAGGGTATTGGAATCGTACCCCTGAACATGTCACTAGTATCAACAACGAGGATGCAATCTGTGTGCTACTGGTTGACTTACCTGGTGTAGTTTATTCACCTGTAGGCTCTGTTTCTACTAAGGGCTCCCTGTCCCCAGTCTACAACATGGGTGGGATGTAGAGTCAGCTTTCCATTATTACTATCCAGGAAGTGAGGACCTTGTATTTGCTTTCTCCAGAGAACAAAGGTGTGTGTGCGGGGAGCTTCCCAACCCTAGTGATGGCTTCTCAGACAGTGAGCAGAAGAATCTACAGGGCTTTCTGAAAGTCTCGTCTTGGTGCTACCTGTGTTCCCAGGAGAGGCCCCTGTGTGGACAGTACTGATAAACACACGCATCTGAACTCATCACAGGGAGGATCAAACCGAGCTGAAGGTAGGGGATGAGACATGCAAAAATGGACAGCCCGGGGGAGGGCGGGGAGTGGAGGGCTTTTAGTTTCCTTTGAGTTCCGCTTGCAAAATCAGAGCAAACCAAACCTCCTGTCAGGGGCTCCTGCCCGTCTTGGACCCTCTGCTGGACCATCTCCAGTCTCCTGCCCTCCGGCAAGAGGAGAACCCAGCGGTGCAGTCTGCCGCGGGGCTGGAGGAGTAGGCTCTTAACGCAGCGGGACCTTTCAGATGTTTAGTCAGTGACATCCGCAGGTCGTGCCTGCCAGCATCTGTTCAGAGAGACACAGCTTCACAAACTCCCTGGGCTGGAAGGGACATTGGAGGTCATATCTATCACCTAGCCTCTGCAGAGGCTGGCATTTCCAGACCAGTTCTAATCATCCAAGAGTTTTTCTCTCTCTCTGCAGTTGAAACACCATTTTTCCTGACTTCCCTTGAAGACATGGCTAAAGACAGGGTCTACCTGCTATAGTCTTTCCCAATGCGGGGGGTGGGGGGGGGGAATGCACTGGATCTCACTGTATCTCATATGCACACATGTGTGTCCCCAGATTTGGGGACACCGGTCCCTTTTGTTCTTCCTACTACCGCTATGAGTGTAGTCTCCATGGTTACAGCAGCTTCTCAGAGGTGCCTGGGTTTTTATTCCCCCCACCGTCCCCATCTTCCCCTAAATGTCTAATTGGTGAATAATCAGTTTAGGGAGCGTGCCGGGAAGTTTCTGTCGGCATACACATTTCAAGACATAGATTTTATATATTCAAAATCCTCCCCCCTCCAAAAAAAAAAAAGTGCATTGACAGGCATTTTTGGCACATTCTTTTTTTTTTTTTTTCCTCCCACTATAAAAAGAAATTTGGATTGACTTTAAAAAATTTCAAGTTAAACAAGATTCAACGAAAAGAGATACGGCCTTTATGCTCTTCAAAGGATGTGAGCCGGAGAGAGGCTTGGAGCTAACCTAATTATGTTTTCTTTAATGTGGAATAGCTATTTGTCTGACATTTCATTTGCATCTAGTATCACATTCAGATAGCTGGGACATTGATTTTTTTTTTTTTTCTAGGGCACTCTTTGAACATGAAAGTGTTTTTTTTTTTTTCTTTTTAATATTTTTTTCCCCTCATAAGAGCAGGGAGAAGCATGGATCGATCATTACAGGGTTGGATAAAAATGAATATAAATTTTATTGAAAAACAACCCCAGCAACAATGTGGAGAAAGCATGTTGAACAAGTCATCGGCCCACACAATACACGCATCATGAGAAGCAATCACCTCTTCACGTTTCCAGCTACTTACTTCAAATGAAATTAAACAGACCCCTGATAAGCCGACGTCTGCCACCTGATGTGTACACTACCTTTGAAATCTTTGCCAGTAGCCAGTGATGTGGTCCTAGGGTTAACCCGGTGTTTACTGTGGGCGAACTGGTGTCTTTTCGAGACTTAATTGGTTTTAGAGAGCCCCTAATCCTTCCAGTGAGCACGGCTTGGAAAACTCCAGAGCCAATGGGAAAACTTTGCTCCTTTTCAAGCCCCTTTGAGGAAGAGAATTTCACAAAACTTTTCTTGGCAACACGTCCCTCCTGCTTAGCCACAGGAAATACTTCTTTGTGTCTAGCCTAAATCTTAAATGCTTCAGCGAATCTATTTATTTCTCTTTAATCTCAGCAGACCAGGAGAAGTTGGTCCTGGTGGGGACTGTGTAACCTAGTCGGGGGAACTCACAATGATCATAATCACACTGAAAACAAGAGTTCCCACTGGGCTTGGTGGCACTTCCAAAGCAAGCTGAAAGGAAGTTAATTGCTCTACCCTGTCCCACACTCCTGGAACCCTGGAAGCCTTCTTGGGGCTGAGTTTGATCAGTTTCCATCCGTTATTGGCACAAAAGAGGGTGTGATCAAAGCTGCCCTATCCAGGGCCTGTGTCCAGGGTTTTGGTCTCAGGAAGAGATTTCCAGGCCAAGTAACAACAATAATAATATTTCCACATTCCAGCATCTTTTTACCAGGCCAGGGAGTTCCCCAGCTTTCCCTCACAGCTGTGCGAGGTGCATGCACGTGGAAACGCTGGGAAACCATGAGAAAGCATCCAGTGATTTTAACATAAAACATTTTAACAGTGTTTTGTTTTTTTTTTTCCCCCTCCCAAGTTTGCATCAAAAAAGCCCAGGGGAATGAATGGATCCAGCCTGGTAGGTTTGCAGGGTTGGTAGTTCTGTTCTTGAAACCACCACCAGGGGGCACCTGTGTGCCATTCTATCCAGCGACTGGGGGAAAAAAATTGTCAATCAGGAGACAAAGATGGGGATTTGAATAAAAGCCTTCAAAATGCAACCCCAGATTTCTAGCCTGAGCAGCATGCGTGTAAAAATTCATGAAGATTGGATTTCATCTGGTGTATTTTTTTTCCCCTCCTTCGGTGGAAAGAAATGCAGGTGATTTTTTTTTTTTTTTTCCTGACTGCGCCTTACAGCAGCTGTCTTAACAAAAGGAGTTGCCTGGTTAAATGAGGAGGGAGGGGGCATTCTCGTTCCCTGGTGGTGCTGGCACACTCTCTCTGTCTCTCTCTCTCTCTCTCTCTCTCTCTCTCTCTCTCTCTCTCTCCCCCCCCCCCCTCCAGACAGCTCCTGTTTTGCTGGGTGGCAATGTATTGATTAACTATGCTTTTTTTCCCCTCTTCAATTTTAAGATGTAGGTTGTCTTCTGCAAAACTCGCTTGGTACCCAATGATAAGAGTCAAAGAAGGTGCTCACTAATTTGGAGAAAGCGCACATTTCATTTCAACCCCTAGACTCAAAAGATGTGAGAAAAGGCTGCTTGCGAGATGCAAACATGGAGTTCCAGTTATGCCTTCAGAATATTCCTGTGATGATGATGATTCTTAATTTTTTTTGACACGAATGCTTTGGTACCGGCTGGCCAAGCCTATCAGAAGAAGGTGCTGGGCACAGGCCGAGGCTGCTCAGATCCCCAGGGGTTATGCCTTCCCTGGGTAGAGGCCCCCCCCCCCAGATGGGTGGAGGGAGATTGGGCACCCTGTAAATGGGCCTTGGGCTTAGGTCCATGCCGGGTAACAGGTCTAAGGAATCATCCAGTGAAGGATCGGGAGCCTGGAACTCCAGAAAGGTGGATTTCTCCAGCCCTTCCTCCCAATAAGCCCAGCCTTTTCCGCTGTTGCTATGGGAACACCAGCCTCAGGCACTGCCCAGGGTGCGTGCTGGGCATCTTGAAGCTTCTCAGGACAGGCCTGAGAAAGCAAGGGGCCCTGAATCATACCCTCAGCGGAAGACAGGACTTAGGGGTTTCTCCTCTCAAAGGAAAACAAGCAGAGAGATGGGATCGGGGCTTTTCTCAGCAACAGTGTTCTCTGGTAGTTTCCCCAGCCTGTCTTTGCTGTGGGGATTAGGTGTGTGTGTGTGTGTGTGTGTGTGTGTGTGTGTGTGTGTGTGTGTGTGTGTGGTGTGTGTAAAGAGCCCCTGTCATTACCTGAGCGTCTCCAGAATTGCTGCTGACCACCTGCTCACCAGTCTCATCTCCTGACTTAGAGACCAGGTCTCTGGAGGCCCAGCAGGATGAGGCCCGGCGTGGAGCCCAGGCTCTTAAAAGAGTCAGGAGGGCATGTCTAAGCCTTGGGCTGAACTTAGGAAGGAGCAGTGAGTCTAAGGCCTTTCTGCCTTGGGCTGGAGTTGCAGGACTGCTATGGACATCACTTCTTCCCAATGGTTTCCCCCATCCTCCCCTCCCCCTTCTCCCACCCAGGACACCCAGGGGTGCACACTTGGCTACTTAACGCTCTTGTCACTTTTCCAGTAACTCATGGAGATGCTCAGCTTGTAGCCTACTAGCTAGCTGTGGGGCACCTAACTTCCTCTGCATCCCTTCTTCTTCTTTTCTTTATAAATGCAGAACTTGTGAAGAGCAGACAGTGGCTAATGAAGAGACAGTGGAAAGTGGAAGACGGTCAGGTCCAACATCCCCAGGAAGAGGAAAACAAAACAAAACCAAACCACAAGCATGCTCTTCGGAAGGGGCTCTCTGATTCACTGGTAACTTGGGACTTGTGAAGTATGCTCCTCTCCGAACGAATCACAACCAAGCTGGCAGCCTGGACGGGTTCTCTCCATCAACCCTACAACCACGACAGCACTACTACGAGAGAAGGGACAGCCACGCACGGGGGATGTCCAGGTCACAATTACCTTGGATTTACATAGCACCGTTTTCATCCCAAGGGTCTTTCTGTCTCTCGTCTCCTCAGCCAGGGCCGCACGGGGTTAAAACAACCTAGGACACAGTCACCCCGGAGCTCACGTGCGGCAGTGACAGGGAAACAGAAGCCAGAGGCCTGGAAGTGGTTCGTGCAGATCAGAGGTGAGTGCTTGGGGCTCTCTGTATTTCTCTGGAACCCTCCTTGGGAGAGGATTGGCCCTGGCCTCTTAAGAAGGTGGGGTGCAGTCCTTCACTGCGTGTTCACTTGATATTTCAGGATGTAGGAGTAGAAGTTGTGGTTGGCGTTCTCCAGCACCATGATGTACATTTCCTGACAGCCAGCTGTGCTGCAGCAGCCCTCCCAGTAACCCTCGCGGTTTAGGGTCAAGGGCCACGTGTCCCGCCCCTTCACCAGGGCTTTGGCAATACCGGGCAGCTTCAGTTTGAATGGGATGTTCCGATTGGCAGGCAGCACGCCGGACAGAGGCTCTAGCAGCTCATTGTCCTGCGCCCAGTTGCCGAAGATCTCAGGGAACACGGGCCAGTTCACCTTGGTGTTGGCACAGCACAGGAGGTAATTGAAGACAAAGCTATAATTGCCCGGCTCCTTCCTCTTCTTGACGAAGATCTTGAAAGCGAACTTGCCGGCGTGGGGCAGCTGGACTTTGAACTCTGTCCGCTTCTCTCTCTGCACCTGGAAGATGTAACGCCTCTGCGTCTCCTCGGTGATGGGACTGTCATCTCCGTGTAAGGACGCCAGGATGCTGATCCCTTCCCCCAGGCGGAAGCTGATGGAGCAGCGCCCGTCACTGGTATGGATGATGGGGTCAGGATGGGAGGGTTTCATGATGCCCATCTGCTCTGAGAACCAGCTGGGGCCCACCGGCTGGTGAAGCTCGGTTGGCAGCCGGACACCCAGATCCACATAGTTGCACTTGATGATGTACTCAAGCACGGAGCTGTAGATGTCGGAGTCACCCTTGGCGAAGATCTGGAGCTTGTGGGTGCCCGTGGTGGGAGGGTACACCTCTAGCCTCATCCCGTTCTTCTTCAGGCTCAGCAGCCCGTGCTCCTGTTTGCCATTGAGCATGAACATGAACAGCGTCGGGGCGCAGCTCTCGATGGTGATCGTGGCCTTCCCGTTCACTGTGGACACAAAGTTAAGGTCAAGGTGAGATGGGGTCCAAGGCTGATCTGACTCCTGTGTACATGTGTGCGTGTTTCCTGTGTGTGACACTCTTCCCCTAATAGTGTTTGCTGTGTGTCTGGTGTCAACACTTCCAAGATTTACTTTTGGTCGGTCATGGGGCTCGAACTCTGGGTCTGGGCGCTGTCCCTGAGCTCTACAGCGCAAGGTGAGCGAGCGCTCTACCACTTGAGCCACAGTGCTACTTCTGGTTTTCTGATGGTTCACTGGAGATAAGAATCTCTCTCGGGGCTGGGAAGATGGCTCAGTGGTAGAGCGCTTGCCTTGCATGCATGAGGCCCTGGATTCGATTCCTCAGCACCACATATGCAAAAAGAAAAAAGCCAGAAGTGGCGCTGTAGCTCAAGTAGTAGAGCGCTAGCCTTGAGCTGAAGAGCTGAAGGACAGCGCCCAGGCCCAGAGTTCAGGCCCCACGACTGGACCCAAAAAAAAAAAAAAATCTCTCTCATAGATAGGCTTTCCTGCCCGGGCTGGCTTTGAACTGTGCTTCTCAAATCTCAGCCTCATGAGTAGCTAGGATGACAGGCGTGAGCCACCGGTGCCCTTTCTTCTTTTAAGACAACCACCAAAAAAGATTCCATATGTATCATAAGTATGAAATCAAGTTTTAGGTGATGACGAACTAAGGAATGGGCCGTTTACACTCGTATGTCTCTTGAAAAGGCGAACTCAACTCAGTCACAGGAGTGTAATGTTACCATGCCGTGGTGGATTCTTTTCCTGTGGTTTGATGGCCCATGGCAGCCTGAAACAAGCCTCCATCAAATGTCAGCTCAGGAAACAGAGTCTCAAAGTGAGCAGCCCTCCACTGTTATTTTAGCGGCGGGAGCCGCCAGGTGCAGTGTAGCTTTTTCGGAGTGTGTGGGAGCTGGGCATCCTGGTTAAGCTATCCGGTGAGATGTAGAAGGAGCAGGTCACCTGGGCCTACCTTGTGCTCCTTGACTGCCCCGCCCCACCTCCATGCAGTGTGGGGTAGGGTTTGGGGCCCATCCCCAGCCCAACCTGGTTGATATCCTCCTGTCTCTCCTGTCCCACATGCATGGAGGCCGAGCTGTGGAAGGTGCCCTAGGCTTGGGTGCTCTGTACATCTCCGTTCTGGGAATGCTGTCTGAACAAAGCCTGCATCCTGCTTACAGGAGGACCAGGGGTCTAAGCAGGCCAAGCCGAGCCCTCATTGGCTCAGGGATCTCAGGACCCTCCCACCCTGGCTCACGCCACAGGCCAGGCTGGTGTGCTAGGAAGCCGGCCACTCTCTGGTGTATCCCCCTTTCTGGCTTTCTCCAAGGTGATCTGTGGCTCTGCCCGGTCCTGGTGGTCTGATGCAGTCTTTCTCTCTCTTTCTGCTGTCTGCCAACCCCTGCAGTCAAATGTGTGCGTGGACCAGGGTGGGCCTGGCCCCCAGGTTACCTGTTCTGATTATGGAGGTGTCTGGGCGAGCGCTGAGCATCCCTTTGTTGTAGAACTCGCTCTTGTGATACATGTTGTTCTCAAACTGCCTCAGGGACTGAGGGGGTTTCAGTAGTTGCCAGTTCTTGTTGTCTGGGAAATGGTCCTCGATGAACAGTGCGGGATGGGTGAGGAAGTAGAATTCATTGTAGCTGCAGAAGAGAGAGAACTTGATCACGAGCCATCCCGGGAAGGGGGTGGGGTGTGGGTGGAGAATGAGGCCCTTGCTCCCAGCGGAATTCTGGGAGGCCTCTTTTGACTGACAGCACCCAACGGGGACCGGGGGGAGGGGGGGGAGAGGGACGTCAGCTAATAGCCCATGTGAGAAGAGGGGCTACTTCCGGTCCTAAATGTGAACACTGAAGACTCCTCAGTGGTTTGTTTTTAGACTCTGGAGTCAAGCAGGATCTGAGGCCTCTGCTAAGGAGGAGGCCGTGGCTTAAAATTGAGGATACCCGGGGTTGGGGGATTGGGGTGGAGGGAGGCAGTGTGTGGCTCAACCCCAAAAGGAAATTTGAAGGGAGCAAAGGTGTAACCAGCAAGCCAGCTGTGGGCAGTGGAGGAGGCATCCGGGGACAGAAGACAAAGCACCCCGGGCACTCTTTCCACCTGTTCCCCCTTTTATCACTGTGCCTGGTAGCTGTGTAGCCGTGGCCTTCATTTCTGGCTCCCTGGGCGGCCCTATCACAGGAATGTTCTCGAATGATAGAGACCGAAAGAAGAATGGAGGCTCAGCCTGAGATGGGGAACCTCCACTCTGCCGGCATTCAGAGCAATGGAGGAAGATAATATGTCAGAGCGTGAGAGCCCGGTGTGTACGATGTTGGTGTGCACACGGCTTGTATTTGTTGTGAGTGTGGGAGTGTCATGATTTCAGCTGCACAAATCAGAATGAACTCTTCGCACAAATCAGAATGAACTCTTCTCATTGTTCGGTATGAGAGGAGCCTGAGCCTGCTGGTAGCTATAGTGATCCAAGACAATCTTTTTTTTTTTTTTTTTTTTTGTCAGTTATGGGGTTTGAACTCTGGGCCTGGGCGCTGTCCCTCAGCTCTTCAGCTCAAGGCGAGCGCTCTACCACTTGAGCCACAGCGCCACTTCCAGCTTTTCTGGTGGTTCCTTGGAGATTAGAGTCTCACCGACTTTCCTGCCCGGGCTGGCTTTGTACCTCGATCCTCAGATCTCAGCCTCCTGAGTAGCTAGGATGACAGGCATGGTGCCCAGCTATCCAAGACAATCTTAAGTTAAAGACAAGGTTGGCCAGAGCAGGACAGAAGTCAAATCTAGTCCACAGCCTACCCGTCCTGTCCCCATGCCCACTGAGCAGACAAGACTCATACTCACAGGAAGGTGAATTTGGAGGTGGTGGTGTTCACCAGGCCGCTGCCCCAGGTGAGGTCCAGTAGGTGCCATCTCCCCTCCAGGAACACGGCGTTCCAGGCGTGGTCAAACTCCCCGGAGAAGCTCTGACCTATCTGGTAGCCAAAGCCCTTGGAGTAGCCGGCCACCGTCATGCATTGTACTCCAGCAATCCTGAAAAGGTGGTGAGGGGGAGGAGGTTGATAGAACAAGGGGTCTGAGAGGACTCCTACTGGGGACTGGCCCTTCCTGTCTCTTCCTTTTGTTTCCCTGCCTCTCATATTCACAGATGATTAAAAAAAAAAAAAGCCAAGTGCTTTTATCTCTTGGCACGGGGACAAGAGGACATGGTTTGGTTGCTTCTGCCAGTGTAGGCTGGCTGCAGTCCCTGCTGCCTGCTCTTCCCCTGAGACTGTTCAAATCACTTCTGGAACGTCTCCCCGGAGCCTACTTTACATGATCCACGAGCAACTCTCCAGGAGGAGAAAAATGAGGGCAAGGGGAAGGATGGCCTCGCAAAACACGAGGCAGGGGGGAAAAATGATGTTTTTGGAAACAAAACCTACGTATAAGGGCTATACACAGAGGCCTGGAGAGGTGTGGGTCCTGAGGACAGAAGACAGCTTCAGCTCTGGTCCCCCAGATAGACCTTCCCAGGTTCATCTACATGGGGACTGGGGGGGCAGGCAAACTCGTGTGTCTAGTGCTGTCTTTGGTAGGAATGGTCAACTGCTAGCGTCCTGCGGTCTGACTGACAGCTCTGTCCTTTAGAAAGCGGGTACAAGAACTACTACTATGTCTGAAGACCATTTGCTGATGGCCCAGTGCTTTTGGATTCTCCTGTGAGGCACGGACATCCATCCGGACACATGGGTTCTTATCAGTTTCTGGTATCACGAGGAGGGATAAAAGGAGTCCTGGGAAACTGCAGTGTTGAGTAAAATGGCTTGTTTTGCATTCAGGTGAGCTGGCTAATGGGGCTGACAGGCCCCTGGCCGTACCACAAGCTGGAGCTTGTCCTCTGCTTAGGAAGGAGACCCACTGAGCCACGGAAGGACACGTTGAGCATCCACAGACTCCAGGCGTTGGGGTAAGTGAGGGCATGGACTGAGGTTGGTAGCTTGGATACCCTTGGGAGGTTGCAAGGGGGTAAGCCTGCCTTGATCAGACGGAATCTTCTCCCACCAAGGGGGTGAAGTGGAAGGTTTATCTCTAGAAGCAAATGGGGGAGAGGCTGTGACAGCCTTATCAACCCGGGAAAGGAGTGGAGGAGGAAGAAGTAAGTGACGACTTGGAGCTGAAGTGGGTGGGCCACTTGGTCCTAGCCAGGAAACCAGGGCTCTAGCTCCAGCCTTGTCCCCCTCATCATGGGCATGAAATGATCTCCAGGGAGTCAGTCTGCTCTGACAGGCGGAGGAGGGCTGGAGGGAATGCCTCCAGCAGCAAAAAAAAGATGAAAACCAGCGTCTGCTGGTGCATTGCTTGACTTTGACATGAGGATCTGTTATTACCTGGCAGCCATGTGCAAGATGAATTGGAAAGAGGAAGTCGGAGTGTCAAGCATTGTTGCTAATAACCTAGTTTTCATGGAAAATGAAGTAACCTTGCGTGTATAAGACAATAATTGTAGGACTAGCAGGGTTTTGTATCCAGTCTCTGGCAGCCAGCCAGGATGACCCATGACCCTTTCACCTCATCAAAAGACCACTGGCTGTATTCACGTATATCAAACCCCAGGGCGGGTTTGATAAACCCATGGTTTCTCATGAAATGACAAGACATAGCCGTGACATAAAATACATTGTTCCAGAAACCCAGGTGAGTGGCCGCCCTACCCGTGTTCATGATTGGAAGGCAGACATACCTGCAGATGTCACTACAATGCAACACCAGTATATAAAACAAAAACCTAGCCAGGCACTGGTGGCTCACACCTGTCATTCTGGCTACTCAGGAGGCTGAGATCTGAGGATCGTGGTTCAAAGCCAGCCAGGGCAGGAAAGTCCATGAGACTCTTTATCTCTAATGAACCACCAGAAAACCAGAAGTGGTGCTGTGGCTCAGGTGGTAGAGTGCTTGCTTTCAGCTGAAGAGCTGAGGGACAGCGCCCAGGCCCAGAGTTCAAGCCCTACAACTGACAAAAATAAAAAAAATAAAAACCAATAATAAAACAAATCCCTGGGAGCCCAACAGAGGGAGTATTCGCTTTGCTAGCTAAAGCTGGGAGAACAGAACGGTGGAAAAGAAAAAAGAAAAAAGGGCAGAGGGCTGAGTGTGGTGGCTCAAGCTCGTAATCCTAGCTACTTCGGAGGGAGAGATCAGGGGAACACAATTGGAGGCCAGCTCGGGCATAAACGTTGGTGAGACTCCATCTCAACCAACAGCTGGATGCAGTGGTACAAGCCTGCTATCGCAGCTACGGGGGAAGCGGCACACATGTTATCTCCAGTGACACAGGGAGGCACAGGTAGGTGGAGGGCAGCCCAGGCCAACAGGGGAATGATGCGCTGCAAAAAGAGCTAGTACAGAAAAAGGCTGGGTGTGTGGCTCCAAGGGTAGACAGACACCTGCCTAGGAAGCGCGAAGTCCTCAGTTTGATCCATAGTACTGAAGCAAAGGAGGAGGAGGAGGAAGAAGAGGAAGAGGCAGAAGAAAAAAGGAAGAAGGAAGATGAAGAAGAGGAAGAGGAAGAGGAGAGGAGGAGGAGGAGGCGGCAGAAGAAAGAAGGAAGATGAAGAAGAGGAAGAGGAAGAGGAGAGGAGGAGGAGGAGGCGGCAGAAGAAAGAAGAAAGAAGGAAGAAGAGGAGGAGGAGGCAGAAGAGAAGAAGCAGAAGCAGAGGAAGAAGAGGAGAAGAGGAGGAGGAGGAGGCGGCAAAAGAAAGAAGGAAGGAAGGAAGGAAGGAAGGAGGAAGAGGAGGAGGAAAAAGAAGGAGGAGGGGGAGCAGGAGGAGGAAGAGATGAAGAAGGATGAAAAGCACTTCTACCTGCTACAGAACTCAGCTAGACAGCTGAGAGCCTAAAATATCACCCAAGGACATCTGTTTAACAACCTCAGACTGCAGAATCTTGCTTTTACTTTCGACAGTTTTGACAACCCCAGAATCAGCTCCTCAGCAGGGGCTGATGCGTGTTTCAGTCCACCAAGCAAACGTGCATGCAGGATGCCCGAAGTAAACTTCCCCAGGGCACCAGGAAGTTCCTGGTTGAGAAAGTTGAGGCCCCCACCCCAGGGCTCAGGGACCCGACCACAGCAAATCCCAGGGCTGTGAAGGGCCCTGTGGCCATCGATGGAGGTTGGATAGAGATGGACTGCACAGAGGTCCAGGCAAGCAGAAGCAAGAGCATTACCTGCTTCCCCTGGGATTGTGGCTTCCATGAATACATTATCCTTCTGACTTAAAAAAAAAAAAAAAAAAGAGAAAGAGATCCAGGCTGGGCACCTGTGGCTCACGCCTGTCATCCTGGCTACTCAGGAGGCGGAGATCTGAGGATCCAGGTTCAAAGCCAGACGGGGCAGGACAATCCTTGAGACTCTTTTCTCTAACGAACCACCAGAAAACCGGAAGTGGTGCCGGGGCTCAAGTGGTAGAGCGCTCGCCTTGAGCTGAAGAGCGCAAGGCCCAAAGTCCAAGCCCCACAACAACCAACAAAGATCCGGGCATACCAGCTAAGTGTGTTGTGTCCTCCTCCGGTATTAATTGAGTAGGTCAAGACTACGACTGTCATTTTGTACCAAGAGTGTCAAGGGCCTGCTACAGGAACTGTGTGGTAGGACCGTATGCCAGGCTCTAGCGGCGGTGTGTCTCCCAGCTCTACTCATCTCTCCCAGGATGTCTGAGCCAAGTGGGAAAAAAAGGGAGGGAGGGAGAGAGGGACCGCAGTTGTAAGGAGAGGCAAGGAGACGTGCTTTCCGTTCGGTACCTTGTTGAAAGAGTGATTTCTGTGCTGCAGCAGGATAATAAACCATGGCTTCTCTTTCATGGTTTATGTACTTGCTCTCTGGCACGGCTGACAGCATGCGTACATTTCTGCTAAATGTTACCGTTCCCCCCTCCCCCTTCTTCCATTACTCCTCATGGCTTGGTCAGTAACTTGTAATCACCGTAGTAATTCTCGCCCCAAGGTCTGCGTGGAGTGGCATGAAGCGTGCTCTCTTCTCTAGCAAGGGAGGGCTGGTTCAGAGAGGGAAGTCACCTTGCGCTGCGAGCTAGGAGCTCAGGTAAAATTGGGATACAGTCATCCTGAGGCACAGATAAGAAGCAGCTCTATTGGGCCAGGCCATTCGTAAAGCAAGCTTTTGTTCTACTCTATAAATCTGTAGTTGGCACATAGAGTGAAATTAAGATGATCTGTTAAAGTAATATAATTCTTACTTTTTTATTTTTTGGTACCAAGGTTTAAATTTAAGACCTTTTACTTGCTTTACTTGTAGATTCAGCGGGTACTATACCACCTGAGCCATGCTTCCAGCTTGGCTTTTTGCTTGTTATTTTGGAGACAGAGTCTCCTAGACTATTCTGCCTTGAACTGCTAGCCTTGAACTGTGATACTCTAGATCTCAGCCTCCTGAGTAGCTAGGATTGCAGGCAAGAATCACGGCCATCTGGCTCAATAATTTATCTTTGATTCTTCCCTCGGTGCATCCATATGGGGAAAGGGGAATTTAGGTGTCTCAGAGGCCTTACAGGAAGAAGTCACGTTTGACCATCATTTAGAGTTATCTCCTGGGGAATTGGCATCTCACGGAAAGTTTAGATTGTCACTCCCTATCTTTTAGAGAATTTGGGATCAAGCGGTGTTGTAAGACTTTGGAGGGATGACCAGAGTAGCTATCTGCATGTGAACACCTCAGCCTCCCTGTGGGTGGATGGAAATCCAACTGTCATCTGACTGGTGACAATCAGCTCACTCAGCCTCAAAGCCTCTAGTTATCCCCAAATCTCTGGGAAATCTGCTACCTGGTGGGACCTAAGCCATGGTAACCGGAGAAGAGAATTTACTGGAGGTGGGATCAGTGGCAAGAGCCTGGAGAAGTAACTTGGACCCACTGCCAGGAGATTAGACAGAATCAATTAAGGCTACGGGCAACCAAGGCACAAGGAGAGGACATTAATGTTTGATGACAGAAAGTCAGAAAGAAACCAGACCAGCCATCCCCTGCAAGAGCACTAACAAAAGATGCCACACATGGGTAGCCGGGGAGAGACCACGAGAAGATGAATGATGCTATCAAGAAACATCTACGTTCCCTACCAAAGTCACGTTGGTTAAATCAGTTATTAAGGAGGCCGTGGCAAGGAGATGGAATGTCCTGGCGGGAAGTCAAAATGGCTGCACGGGAACAGCTCTTCCCTGACAGCCCTGCAGGGGTAAATCAGCAATTGGAAATTGCATTGGTTTCCGTGTTGAAGGGATGAACTAATGAATCCACCAGACCTCTGGCAGTTATACGTTAGGGGGTAAAGATTAGGGAGGTGATGCACGTGTGGGCTACTGATCCTTAACATTTAAGGCAGGGGAAGGAATCTTGCTCATGGTAACCGTGAGGTTGGAGCTAAACTTTCGGCGATGCAGAGCGCCGAGCTGTATTTTAATGAACAGCTGCAGGCCAGAATATGGCCCTTGTTAAGAATCTGGACCAGGCGACGAAGATGACAGTTTCATTCAAGGCAGGTGTCAATTTCCTGAGTCTATGTGGGCCAGCCCAGCCTGGAGGAAATTTCCATAGAGCAAAAATACTCCCAATATCCAAAAAAAAAAAAAAAATAGACAGGGAAGGTTTTTATTTTTATTATTATTTTTTAAAATGAAAATTCAAGAACTCCAGAGTCAGGTGGAAAACCTCAGATGACATGTTCCTACCCAGTCCTGTCTTGCTAACGAGGTGATAGGGTTCCCCCTTCCCCCGTATACAGATGAGGAAACAGAGACTGTAAAAGCTTCAACCGCTTATCAAAAGGAGCCCAACAGATAAGTGATCGCTGACAGATGGAAACCCAAGTCTTTCTGGCTTTATATCTCGCACTCCTACGGCACGCTAGAAAGAGGACCCTGGATAAAGAAACATAAATCTAGAACATTTTCACATTTGCAAACTGAGATGAAAACCATCCTCTCTGACAGATGCTAAACACATGTGGTTCTTCAGTTATTTAAAAGAGAACACCCTCATCTGCCTAGGAATGCCCCTGTCCTTTCCTGTCACTTTATAACTATCCATTAGCCTTGCAGAACGACCCATTATAATGATCCATTCTAACTCTCTAGCCATTGAGGGCCTACTGTGTATAGGTGGGAGACGTGGGTACTCCTAGGGGAGGTGGAAGAAGAGAGACTTGAAGATGAAGAAACCAGTAAGACTCACGGACCTCATGTGTGCAAGGCAAGCACTCTACCACTGAGCCACCTTCCCAGCCCCCAAATTATTCTCTCTCTCTCTCTCCCTCTCTCTCTCTCTGTTCATTCTTCAGTCAAGCTACCAACCTGGCCACATATATGCCCTGAAGACAGACAGACAGACGCTTCTCCCTGACTACCCGGCGTTCTGACTGACAGGTTTTTCCGAGTAGATACTGTGATTTCCCCAGGTGAGACATCTGACCTTCCCAAAGGATTTTCACGGCCCTCTCGGTGTGAGCAGCTACTGTCCTTTTGTTCCCCGACCTGCCATTCATTTAACCTTCAGCTGCACGGAGATGGGAGAAGGCGGAAAAAGGGGCTTTTATAACTAAATTATTGCTGTGCGTTCGTCTGCCATTATGTTAATGCATCACGAAGTCCAGCAGATGGTACAGGGTCAATTACGCTGGTGCTGAAAGGGAGAAATTGACCTTTGCGGGACTCCCTTGGATTTCAGAGCAGAGTTTGCAAATTCAGGTTTCGGGCCAGGCATGGGAGGAAGCTATCCCGTGCACAGGAAGCAGGGAAGAGGGACGGGGTCGGGTCAGCAGCACCCCCTTGCCAGTCATACCTGCACATTCTTTCAAAGAGACCAGCGTAGCCATCACAATTGGTCTTCTTGGTCTTCAGGATGCTCGTAGGTTTGAAGGCTCGGCGATTCTTCTCCTGAGCAGCCTCAATGTCATACTCTGGGGGAGGGGGAGAGCAAAAAAGGGAGGGGTCCTGAGGAAACAGGGCCCTGCCGTGGCTCGGTCCAGCCTCGGTAGAAGAATCTGAGACACTTGATCTCCAGTTAACCAACAAAATGCTGGACTGGAGGCCTGGCTCAAGTGGTAGAACCCCAACCATGAACAAGTGAAGCAAGCCATTTTGAGGCCCCTGAGTTTAAGCTCTGGTAATGGCACACGCACGCACGTGCACACATGCGCACACACACACACACACACACACACACACACACACACACAAAGTGAGCATACCTATGTGGTAGCAGATCCATATCCAAATGGCGCGGACTCTTTCTAGATCGCTATGCGCTTCCTGAAGCAGGTCACGCACCAGCTCATCCAGGCTACTCTTGACCGTCACCTGGGGAGCAGGAAGGGCGTGCTGCTTCAGGGCCGGGAAGAGGGCCGTGGGGGTGCCTAGCTCTATTCACTCACAGCCAGTGCTGCTCTTCCTCCAGGTAAAGAAGCTGGGAGAGGAGGCGCGGAGGGACGGGCTGGCTGAGTGTGGATCACAAGCAATTTTTTTTTTAAAGGAGAAAATGAGGTTCTCCCGCTGGGATTTCCCAATGTCAAAACTTACTGTAAGGCGAATGTTTTGTATCAGCATAGACTCTTATAGACCCACCAAATAGAACTGAGAATTTATAGAGAGAAGCCCATATACTTCTATAGCCATTTGAATTTTGATCAAACAAAAATCACAAATGGTCCTGGCTGGAAGAATTGTATTTCCATGTGCAAAAGAATGACATTGGATATTTGCATTGCATAGTATACAAAAATAAAGGGGAAAAGTGGATCAGTGGTTCAAATATAAGAGATTAAGCCATATAATTTTTAGAAGAACTGGAGCCAATCATTGTTTGGCCATGGATCCCTAGATAGGATCCTAAAATCACCCCCAACAAAAGGAAATATAAGTAAACGAATTTATTGAAACAAAAAAGATCTGAACATTAAAAGGTATTATTAAGAGAAAACAACACAAATTGCATACCTGATAAGGGCTTAATATTCAGAATATGTAAAGAATAGATTTACATATTTATTTGCTTATTTATTGTTGGTTGTAGGGATTGAACTCAGGGCCTGGGTACTATCCCTGAGCTTTTGAACCACAACTCCACTGGTAGTTAGTTGGAGATAAGTCTTACAGACTTTCCTGCCCAGGCTGGCTTTGAACCGTAATCCTCACATCTCAGCCTCCTGAGTAGCTAGGATGACAGGCGTGAGCCACCGGTGCCCTGCTCTATATACATACTTATATATAGACACTTTTCCAAAGGAGATACACAGATGGTCATTGGCTTTGGACAGGGATCTGCGCCTGCTTCTCATCCAGTCCATCCAGAGTCATCAATCCGGGAAACTCAGGATATTCAGGAGGCTTGGCTGCTTTGATTTGGGGGACCTTTATGGGCTTTTGGCTAGAGGGCCTGCTCTCCTACCTGTGAGGCATAGGTGTCCAGTTTTTCAAACTTCCTGAGGTCCAGAGGCATGGATTTGAGACTGGACTTGTCCCAAGGATAGGCTAGAAACACAGGAAAGCTCAGTTAGCAGTTGGGACCCTCCGTGGAGAGGTTACGGTGCCCAGGTTCCCTTCTTTCATTGCAACTGCCTGGCCTTTAACACAAGTCCCACAGCTGGAAATTCTAGCCTCAGGAACTGTAGTCTCCTAGCTGGTTTCCCTGGTCAAAGTAGATTGGGAACTCTTGGAGATGCACAGGAAACACAAGCCTATGTGTAGACCCAGAGATGCCAGCCACTGGCTTAACCTCGGTCAAACCCAGACATACTGGTGATCGAACGCCTTTGTATCCCACAATGTAGTTTTCCGTGGCTTCCTCTGGGAAGCACTTAAGGCAGTACCACTAGCCCTTGACAGACTCCAGGCCTTGGCCATGTGCTGGGGGGAGGGGGTGTGTGTGTGCAAGGTGTTACGGGATAGCCATCTGGATCTTACAGAGTGAGGTGTGTTTGGCATCCCTTGGGGTCACTCTCTTGTCCATGGCCATCTGGGACACCCTAAGAAAGCCAACTGTGGTGGCCTCACGGGTGCTTGAGGTGCTGGGAACAAGCCTCTAAAGGAGGCTGAGCCTCAAAATGACTCATCTTATCCAGCCTTTCTCATAAGAAGCCTCCTGCCGGGAGTGTGTGTGTGTGTGTGTGTGTCTGTGTGTGTGTGTCTGTGTGTGTGTGTCTGTCTGTCTGTGTCTATGTGGCAGGGGGGAGGTTGGCAGGGACAGAGATACAGGAAGAAAGAAACCTCAAAAACTGATGTTGTCACAAGAAGAGTCCCAGGCAGTGCTGAGAGGTTGATCTGGAAAGCTCACGGGGCTAGCACCATCCTGATTCTCCTTCCACCCTCTGGATTTGCAGCCCGTATTTCTTTCTGGGTGGGTACCAGGCCTGAGAATCATCATCCCCGCTTCCCCCCCAGTTTGTGTGTCCTGTGTCAGCCATCCTCCGGCTAGTCCCTTTCAGAATGGGGCATACCTCGGGAAGACTCCTACGGGGTGTCTTGCGGGGGGTGGGGGGTAGGCCTGGGCACTGTCCCTCAGCTCTTCAGCTCAAGGCAAGCTCTCTACCGCTTGAGCCACAGTGCCACTTCTGGTGATTTATTGGAGATAAGAGTCTCATGGACTTTCCTGCCAAGGCTGGCTTTGAACCATGATCCTCAGATCTCAGCCTCTGAGTAGCTGGGATGACAGGCATGAGCCACCGGCGCCTGCCTTCTACCCAGACATTTCTCAGTGCCCTTTTCCTCCAGAGATTCTAGGGTCCTGCTGCTGCCTAAAAGGAGTCAACAAGCGATCGAAGTAGATTTGATGTGGATTTATACAGAGCAGGTTTCCACTCCATGTTCCTCTCCCCTGGCTCCAATTTAGAAGAAGGATGGCATACCTAAAATGGCTGTAAACCCTATTTTACTACCTTTTCCCTTTCTTGATTCCATTTTACAATGGTTAACATTTTTAATATCGAAACACCCACAATGGTTTATGCTTTATTAAATCTACTTCCCGAGCAGGTCCTATAAGGTACAAATAGGATTTTTTTTTTGCATAAATACATTTAAAACACCCAGTAGCATTAACTAAATTATTCTAATTTTCAAGTGCAACAATAGGAAGAAGTACTGAGCTACTCCGAGCCCCAGATGATACCTGGTGGTGTATCGGGTGGGGGGAGAATTGAGGCAAGATAAATGAGGACCCCCACCTCAAAAAAACCCCCACCCAAGTTGTCTATCATCCTATTCCATGTTTCTTCCTCTGCCCCGCTACCTTGCAGACATTTAGCGCTCCACTAACACTCACATCATCCTGAACTGTCTTGATGTTTCCTATAACCGGCTGCTTTGTGATCGGAAGGGATGACTTCTGACACCCGAGCCTTCTCCTATGCACATGTCCATGCAGACATTGTTAATCAATCATGATGCTCCTCCCTCCAAAACCATAGGTGGCCCCACACTCCCAGTGTCCCAGGAAGCCATTGCTGATCGTCTGGAAACTGGCTCATGAAGCCAACTCAGTTGTGTGTTCTTGGGAACTGGCCCTAGACAAGAAGACCCGAAACTTACCATGGGCATCTTTTCCTCCAGGCTGCCGGGGTCGGGTGTTTCCATTTTTGTCACCTTGCAAACCTATAACATGCCAACGGTGCAGAAGAAACAGAAATACAAACATGGATGATTCTCTTGGTGGCAGTGCTGGCTTCTGATGTCTCCTCCTGTTCAATCATTTTTTTTTTTCCTCATAGCTTCCTACACCCATCCTCTCCTACCCTAGAAGTGGTGCTAGAATTTGCCATGGACTTCCTGGTGAGGCCGGGAAGAGACTGGAAGCCAGGAGTGGATGGATGATGGAAAAGGGAGTAGAGATAGAATATTCTTTGACCTTAATACTTGGAATTATACAAGGAGCCTGGACTCAACTCTTGGCCGCATCCTTGTGCCATCTTGGAACACGGCCGAGGATGAGGGCAGGAACCAGTTCCCTCCAGATAACCCCAGGACTAGACCAACGGTGGGTCAAAGTAAAACTAGAGGAGGAGAAGGCAGTCTGTTCAGCCCTTGGGAAACTCAGAAGGCTTAAGATGTTGTCAAAGGGCAAGTGAACTCTGTGAATTTAGGATGGTTAAGACAGAATGGTCAATGGATATTAGATTCCATGCACACACACACACAGCACATAAAGGAACTTTTCTTGAAAGCAGGTCAGGTTGGTCTGTAATGAAACGAGTGGAGTTGGTGGGTGGGAATGCCAAAGTGAGCAGATGCCCCTAAAAGCCACTTTAAGCTGTTAAATAAAACAGTGGAAGGTTGCAGACATACACGGGCCATTCTCAGAAGCAGCTGTTCCATTGTTTCTCACATTTGTCTGTGATTTCCATCTCTACTAGCTGATGGAAAAATGGGATTTCCTTGGTAAATACCAGAGCTAGTGTTTCTCGTGAACTATTTCTGGCTTGGGTTTCATTTCTACTATTGTCTTCCTCCCTCCCTTCCTTTCTTTTCCTTTCTTTTCTTTTCCTTCCCTTCCCTTCCCTTCCTTCCTTCCTTCCTTCCCTCCCTCCCTCCCTGCCTCCCTTTCTTCTCTTCCCTCCCTTTCTTCTCTTCCCTCCCTTCCTCCCTCCCTCCCTCTCTCCCTCCCTCCCTCCCTCCCTCCCTCTCTCCCTCTCTCCCTCCCTCCCTCCCTCCCTCCCTTCCTTCCTTCCTTCCTTCCTTCCTTCCTTCCTTCCTTCCTTCCTTCCTTCCTTCCTTCCTTCCTTCCTTCCTTCCTTCCTTCCCTCCTTCTTTCCTTCCTTCCCCAGAGCCACATTGGTTTGCCCTCCTGAGATCCTAACATCTGACAGACAGTCTTAGAGGACGTTAGCACACGGAGTGGACATGACAGGACCTCTGCAGCCTCCCTTCCTTGGCCTGTGGTCCTCCTGGGGCCAAGAGATGAGCACCTACAAGGAGATGAAGAAGGGATGTGGAGGGGGCATGGTGGTCCTTTTCTGTACACATGCACTGAGACCAGCTAAATACAGCTTCAGAGTCGAACCTAGGTTCCGACTCATTTCCCGGCTGGGTAAAACTTGGGCAGTTAGATCACCTTTCCGAGCCTTGCGTGGCTTCTCTGAAAAAAAAAAAACACACACAAAAACATGGGGATACTATTGCATATGTTAAAAGAGCATAAGGTTAATGAGTGTTAAGTGCTAGGTTCTTGGCAGTTCAGCAAGATGACACCAGCAACAATGAAATGCACATTCAGCTACACACGCCCTGTGTCACGTCCCAGGCCCAATCCCAAGAGATGCAAGAACAGAGGAAGCTGGTAGGCATGAAGTAGTTACACTTCTCTGCTTTTGTCTGAGTCCACAGACCCCTTTCTCCCTGACTCCCCCTCTCCCCCCTGACCACTCCTCCCTATCCATCAGAAGGTGCTTAGGCTAGGGTCTGACCCAATCCTGCTACCCTCCACCCTCCCTGCTAAAGCCCCATAGGATGAGCAGCCCTGTACGTACGTACGTTTGGCCAAAGAAAACTTCTTGAGGAGCTGGGGCATGGCATCACAGGGGTGGACTTCCACCGTGAGCTGCGTCCCTGGAGAGAAGGGCGATATTCTCAGTCAGATGAAGCCAGGACATGCTCATTAGCTTGTGTCAGGTATTCAAATAACAGAACACAATGTACTTCAGTGCTTCTTTTTTTTTCTTTTTTGGTGGTACAGAGGTTTGAACTCACCCAGGGCTTTGTGCTTGTGAGGTTAAGCGCTCTACCACTTAGCGCACACCTCTAGCCCCTTTTTGTTTGTTTATTGATTTATTTTTCAGATAGGGTCTCATGCTTTCTCCCCCACCCCAGGTTGACTTTGGAATGAGGGTCCTCAAACCTACATTTCCCACAAAGCTGGGAATTACAGGGATGATCTACTCTGTCTGGCTAGAGCACTCCTTTGAATATACAAGTCATTCTCTTGTTGTTGTTATTGTTTTGTTTTGTTTTTCAGAACTCCAGGCAACAAGCCAAGCACCTTCTGGATCTGGGCAAAGATGGGCAAAAGCACTCTCCACCTTTCTCTCTCTCTCTCTCTCTCTTTTGGTCGGTCATGAGGATTGAACTCTGGGCACCGCCCCTTAGCTCGTCAGCTCAAGGTGAGCGCTCTACCACTTGAGCCACAGCGGTGGCTCATGGGAGATAAGAGTCTTATGGACTTTCCTTGCCCTGACTGGATTTGAACCTCAATCCTCAGATCTCAGCCTCCTGAGTAGCTAGGATGACAGGTGTGAACCACCAGTGCCTGGCCTAATGCTCTCTTGTATCAGAGATGCATGGGGCCAAGAATATGATAGCCAATACTTATTAAAAATAAAGTATTTTTGCTGATTCCCCCCCCCCCCCAATTGCAGACATAGTTATAGGAAGAACATGACAGAGAGAGAGAGAGAAATGAAAGACCTAGATTTTATTTTTGTTTGTTGTAGGTCTGAAGGTAAGGGAGTTCAAGGGAGCCCTTCTATAGCTCAGGACCCACATGAGAGCCACTCATTCAGAACCTGGTCCCCCATCCCACAAGCTCCTCCTCCCATCTGCAATATCCAATCCCTTCTCTCCTGCCCGCAGCACCCCGTCCTCGGTGGACAGGGCTGATGCCAGCTGACAGGCTCCTCCTGGCTCTCCTCACAGCTGAGCTGCTGCCTAGCTCTGCCTCAAGGACACCAGGGTTCTCCGTGGAGTCCTGCTCTTTGATCAGAGCTTCCAGAGGCTTCTCTCACTTCTAGAATGTCCTTAGCCTGGTTAACCCGTCTCAAGGTGAACGGCACTGGCTAGTTTCATGCATCCTCAAGGTGGGACTTGCACGAGAGGGGATGGGAACTGTTAATACTCAATACAAGTAAGACTCCGAATGTAAGAAGAAAAATGCTAATACGACCGGTCTCTGATCATAGGCACCATTTGGAGCAAGATTCACAGTTGGGTCTAAACGCTAAGTGTAATTAGATGATCACAGCACTTGACAGTGACTGTAACAATCACAACCAAATGTAAAGGAGACCCTGGTTGGGACTTTAGGTTCCTGGTGGGCCTCTCCTGACCTACATCCTCACTCCAATAACACTTCTGCAACTACAGCTCAGGCTGGCTTAGTAAAGGTATTTTAGAGAGTATTTCTCTCTCATCCCGGGAAGGGGCCCTATCACTGAAGTCTGAGCCTATCCGGACGCCCACTGTGTAATGAAGGGGTCTTCTGCAGCCCTGGCTACCCCTTAGCTTCCAGTGAGCTCTTGAAAACACAGCTCTATGCAGGACCCCTTGGGTAGGCTGGAGGTCTCTGGGATGTCCCAGGTCTGAAATCATGGCAGTTTGACCCTAATACATGTGTGATCATAAATAAGCCTCTCTAGCCAGGCACCAGTGGGCTCACATCTGTCATCCTAGCTACTTAGGAGGCTGAGATCTGAGGATCACGGTTCAAAGCCAGCCCAGGTAGGAAAGTCTGTGAGCCTACTACAGGCTCACCTGCCTGTCCCCTACCCTTTCAGAGTGGAGATGTGCACAGGCCACCTTGTGCACAGTCTATGAGGGGGCTGCCTTCTACCCACAGTGGAGACTTCTCCCACCTGACACTTTCTCTCTAAACTGCTTCAGGCTTCAATCAGGATTTGTCTAACGGCTTAATTTTCCTCAGAATACCTAATTCACGGAGGGCAATCAGGTTTTGGGTTGTTCATTAAATCTGACTGATTGAAAGTGGCTGCCCAGAGCACTGGTCAATTAACAAATACCATCAGGCATACATGTGGACATGAATGTGTATGTGTGTGTGTGGGGGTGGGTGGGTAGGTGTGGGAGCCCTGGGATTTGTGCTAGATACTTGCCAACATGAATGTAAGGCGTTCATTAACTCTATTAGCAGGGTACCACGTTTGATTATTGCTGTATTGTTAATTATTTCCAAAACAGAATCAGAAATATTTTTCTGCAGCAGCTCGGGGTCAGGAGGTCTTAGTTAAAAGCATTTGTAACGTTGACAAGGCCTTGGTTAAGGTATTCACCACCGTTGTGCTGTTTTTCTGCCCCAGGAGGCTGTAATTGGGAAGTGGTGAGCTAGGACAATCCAGGGGCAAGCATGCCAGCAGGTAATGGGACTATCTAGCTCTCTACACCATTATTGGAGCACCAACCTCACTGGGTGCTACCAAATGCAGTACAAAAGCCCTGTTCAACATCTTTGGTTATGAGATGGTCGTTTAGTGCTCTATAACTTAAATCTGAGCCCACTGTGTAATGAAGGGGTCTTTTGCAGCCCTGGCTGCCCCTTAGCTTCCAGTGAGCTCCTGAAAACACAGCCCTATGCAGGACCCCTTGGGTAGGATGGAGGTCTCTGGGAAGTCCCAGGTCTGGAATCATGGTGGTTTGACCCTAACACATGTGTGATCATAAAAAAGCCTCTCTAGCCAGGTGCCGGTGGCTCACATCTGTCATCCTAGCTATTCAGGAGGCTGAGATCTGAGGATCACGGTTCAAAGCCAGCCAGAACAGGAAAGTCCACAAGACTCTTATCTTGAACTGAAGAGCTCAGGGAGAGTGCCCAAGCCCATGACCAACAACAACAACAAAAAAGAAAGCCACTCTGCCCACGAGCAGACCCCTATGTAAGGGGTCTATGTAAGGATTGATGACCTGGAAGCACCAGAAAACTGCCTTTTCTTTCTGTCTCTGTCTCTTTCTCTCTATGTCAGTACTGGGATCAAACACAGGGTTCCATATATGCTAGTTGAGTGTTCTACCTCTGAGTTCTGTCCCAAGCTCCACCTGCTCTATTTTAAATTGTCGCTTGTAATAGACTGTGAGCACCAACCTCTAAAGATATCCATGCCAGAATTTCTGGAACCTGAGAGCATTACCTTCTTTGACCTGGAAGATTTTGTAGATGTGATTAAATTAAGTCTCTTAGGACCGAGAGATTATCCTGCATTATCTGATTGGCCCCTAAATGCAACCATGTACAGCCTTATAAGAGGGAGATGGGGAGAGATTTGGTTATTTATAAGGAGAGAAGGCAATGTGATAATGGACTCCGAAACTGGAGTGACACAGCCACAAGCCAAGGAATGCTGGCAGCCTGCAGAAGCAGAATGTAGAAGCAAGGAATGGATTCTCCCATAGACCTTCTTCCAATAGTGCCCAGCTGACAGTGTGACTTGAGCCAACTTCAGAGGACTCACTTCCAGAAATGACAGAAAACCATTGTGTGTGTGTGTGTGTGTGTGTGTGTGTGTGTGTGTGTGTGTTACCTTAAGCTACCAAGTTTGTGGGAATTGGCTATAGCATTTCCAGGAAATGGATACACCCCGGTCTCCCCTGTTCCCATCATCTTGAACTCTTTATTTTCTCCTTTAGGGTTACCGGAATCACTGTTTTATTTGTTAGGATTATCCATCTTCCCTTACCAGGATGTGTCTCGTTTCACAAGTGAGGTTAAGTATTGTTCACTCATTCTCTTTTTCTTTTTCTTTTCTTTTTGCCAGTCCTGGGGCTTGAACTCAGGGCTTAGGCACTGTCCCTAAGCCTCTCTGTACTCAAGACTAGCGCTCTACCACTTAAGCCACAGTGCTACTTCCAGCTTTTTCTGTGTATGTGGTACTAAGGAATCGAACCCCAGGCTTCATGCATGCTAGGTAATGCATTCTACCACTGAGCCACATCTCCAGTTCATCTACTCTCTTTCTAATAGAATGTCTCTTGAGTTTTGCTTTGTGGTGGGCGATGTGAGATAAGTCCATTTCAGTGCGGCCTTGGCTTGCACTGGTATTCATATCTGTCCTGGTAGATCTTGGGGGACCCACGAAGCAGGCTCTAGGGGCTTGTCCTAGAGTTTCCAGCCAAAAGAGATACCGAGACAGACTGCAAATAGCTGGCCCCTTGTACCAGTGACCCACGTTGGCTTTCCCTTTCTTATTACCTGACAGTGCCTTTCTGCAGAGAGGCTGGGCTGGCCCACGCTTCACAGAGCAATTTCCCTGAGAGGGTTCCAAATCTCACATAACCTGCTTCAGGTGGAGTGAGCTGCCCCTTGTCCCTAGATGCAATCACTTCATTTCTGTGCAGGGTAAATACATCAGTCTTACTCATGCCCGAATCTTAGGACTGAGCCTATAAGAGGTCTTTGATGTCAGGCCCTCTGGGCCTCCAATAAGAGTGATTATTAACCACAGTGGGCATGGGAGTTTCTCACCAGGCCTTCCCCTCTGGTCTGCCCTCTCCTGTGCTCTGATCCGGTCAACTATACAAACAGCTCGGGGATGCTCTTGTCTGCCATTCCTAAGCCCCCAGAGCCTGTCTTGAGAAAATGAAGATCCTCAAGGCAGCGAGCTCAGCATTACAGGGAATGCCCCTCTCCTCTGCCGCCCCCCCGTCCCCCTGCACCTGCCCCCAGAATTCTCAGTCTCAGGATAGGCCAAGGAAATACTGAGACTCAGGAGGGAGAGAGGGAGGGAGGGAGGGCTGGTGGGTCAGGAAACGTGAGCACTCAGGGGGAGGGCAGATTCTAGGGGAGCTGCAGAGGAAGTTGCTCAGGAGCCACGTGAAGGTTAACAGCCTGAGAGCTTACTGGGAGAGAGAAGGGCAAAGGCTTTTAGGGCTCTAACCCTTGCTGATCATGTGATTTTCGGATACTCGGACAGCCCTTTCCAGCCTCAGTTTCTCCCTTTGTACAAAGGAAGTCAGTAAGAGCACCTGTCAAATGAGGTTAACCGTGAAGCTGACAGAACGCAGAATCAGTACTCCATAAATCCTAACTGTGGTGATGATAAGGTGATGGTGATGATGAAATTCTGTGGCTTCGGGATTTTTTTTTTTTTTTGGTCGGTTGTGGGGCTTGAACTCTGGGCCTGGGCGCTGTCCCTGTGCTCTTCAGCTCAAGGCGAGCCCTCTACCATTGGAGCCACAGCGCCACTCCTGGTTTTCTGGAGATCAGAGTCTCACGGCCTTTCCTGTTCAGGCTGGCTTTGAACCGTGATCCTCAGCTCTCAGGCTCCTGAGTAGCTAGGATTACAGGTATGAGCCAGCGGTGCCCGGCTTGGGATTTATTATTATTTTTTTAAATATCTTGATCCCAGGTGAAGGGCAAGACTTGAAGCAAACAGTCTCTCAGTGTTTTTTTCCCCTCTGGAGCTCAAGGGGAGGACACAGATGCTCCCATCTCCATGGGGCAGAGAGACGATCTGAATGATCCCTACAAACCAAGCTTCATATCCCAGACTGTCTCCGGCTGGAGCGACAGCTCCCAGGAGCAGAGCTACAGGGAAATGCACTGCAAGCAGCCAAGGATTCCCTTACCTTGGTTGTCATAGGCGGTGATGACCTGTGGCTGCTGAGGGTGCTGCTTCTCCGCCAGGCTTTCTATTTAAGGAAGACAGGGAAGACTGCGGTGACCACTGGGTTCCATGGTGGAATTTTCCCCTGGCAGAGCGGGGAAGCTGTACATTATTGTGCAAGAAAGGCAAGCTGGTAAGAACTGGGCCCCATCCACGTGGCCTGGACCTCACGTGGGCCCACTCAGGAATGTATCTCCATGGTGTGCATACCTGCGAACCGTTGACCTGTAGTTGGACACCCGCACGCAGAGGTCAAGGCCCCGGGGACCCCTTCCACTGCTCAGCATGAGCCAATGCAGGCCGATGACACCCCTAATTGTCTATGAAGCTCGTCACTCCCAACTTCACAGCCCCAGGCAGAGTTTCCCAAACCTCTCCTCACAAATGGATGTCTCTCGGATTCTTTCCACCTTTCTTTGAGGTGGGCCGACCTCTCAGAAATGGAACCCCAAGTTTCCTGGCCTCTAGCTCGGGCTCCTGACCCCACCCTCTGAGAAGAACAGCACAGAAGCCTGCCCCCCTGCTCTATCCTTGGTGTTGAGATGAAAGGGCAGATTGGTTTAGTTGTCCAAACACTATAGGACATCTATTTTTTATTTTGGTCGGTCATGGGGCTTGAACTCTGGGCCTGGGCCGCTGTCCCTCAGCTCTTTAGCTCAAGGCGAGCACCCTACCACTTGAGCCACAGCGCCACTTCCAGTTTTCTGAGTGGCTTATTGGAGATCAGAGTCTCATGGACTTTCCTGCCCAGGCTGACTTTGAACTACTAGATCTCAGCCTCCTGAGTAGCTAGGATGACAGGTGTGAGCCACCGGCGCTTGGCGAGGGCGTCTATTATAGGCAGATTCTCTCCACCTTCTAGGACTATGCCGGTCTCTGTGTGCTTCCTTTCACATTCTCTGAGAAGGACGACATCACCTTTATCCTTCTCTTACAGCTGTTGCTGTGGTTGTGGCCCTGGTCTTCCCGAAGCTGTCCTTACTCAGAGGGGTAGGAGGTGCAGGGGGGGAAGCTGGTGACTAGGAGGAGGGCCAAAATTATGGCAAAGGAGGTTTTGCCACCAATGCAAACCTGGCCTCCATCTCCTACTGTCCTACAATAGGCCCAGGACTGGAAGCGACCAGCAGGACCACAGCGCCCCAACTCTTGGGATGCTCTCCCTGAACAGATTCCGTTCATAGGACTCTTCCTGTGCAGCTAATCGGATGGGGCCGCCCCGCGATCATGTGATCAGACCCTAACAGAGTAAAGCAGAAGCCAGTCCAGGGGGCGGGCAGGGAACACGGAGCCTGGGATAAACTTGCCAATCACCCGACAAGGCCTTACACTAGGAGAAGCCCATCTGCTTCATTCAGCCTTTCCTATAAACAGGCTTCCCTCCCCATCCCTGCCGCAAACCTCCAGGTCTTAGCTGGCCAGTTCAGGGTGATGTGGTATGCTGGGATGGAGCCCGAGGCCAGCCTCAGGAGAAGAGATCAAGGAGGTTTCTTCCTGTGGGCACAGCTGGCCGCATCTCTGGGAGGAAATAGGATCTGGGGAAGGGAATCCTCGAGGAGGGTGATTGGCTGGCATAGCTGTTGGTGGGGGTATTTATAGTCAGGGCCGCACAATTGGTTTCCCTGTCGCTGTAAGTGCACCAGTCACCGGTGCTGCTAGGCAGACTTGGGGCAAGATCCAGGATAGCAGCCAATCACAAGCAAGGGAAGCCCGTTGCCGGGCAAGTTTATAGGGGAGGGAAGGGGTGGGTGGCTCTGCCCAAGCACCTGCTGTCTCCCAAAACTTTTGAGTGTTCCAGGATTCCCCCCCCCCCACCTCCCCGTCCTTGCCAGCACCCAAGCCCAAGGAGCATACAGAACAGCAACGGGGTGGAAAATGCGGCCCCTGTCTAACCACATGTATACACGTTCTACCAGCACCAACTATCAGCTTGCCTTCTGCTGGTTACTAGGACTTGGTACACCAACAAGGCGGGTATGGGATAAAGTCACCCTCCAGGCCCTGCACTCTGATTCTTGGTCTCTGAAAACACAGAAAGAAGCTATACTTTAATGTATGCGTGCATGGAAAAATGCCATTTAAAAAGGAAATGTTTCATGTAACTATGCATATTGGTGGGGTGGTAAACCTGTCATCTTTTCTGGATTCAAGGGCTCTCCAGGGTGGCCCTCCAGCCCCGCATTTGTCCTAATCTCTTAGTTCTCAGGGTGGGTTCCCTTCCACCCTATTCAAGGAACGACTTTAATCACTTGTCTGTGGACAGACAGGTGGCACCAATACCCATGTCCCGTATATCACAAGAGTCTCATGATTGTCTCACGACCATTCCTACACTAATTTGTGTTTTGTTACTTCTTTCTACTAAAGTCCCCTCCTCCTTTCCTCCTTCCCAATCAGGAACCTAGAAGATGATCAAAACAGGACAAACTCAGCCTGTTTTTGATCCATTTCTGAGAAGACTTCAGATGAATGTCAGACATCTCAGACAAGGTAAGAAAGAGCTACAGCGAACAAGAATACTGTAACTTTTTGTGTGTGTGTGTGTGCGCACATGCACGCCCATATCTGGCCTTTTTCTTCCTTACCCACTCACATATTGATTTAGCGTGTGGACTTTCATGGTTATTTCTGTGGCTGACAGGTTTTTGGAGGTCTGATTCTTAATACAATCCTCACTAGCCTACAGCATAGTTTATCTGGCTCGGGTATCGGCTTCATTAGGGCTAGAGCTGGTTATCAGCTGATGACTATAGTAGCAAGGGGCCATTGTACTGATGCAAGCCTCCTAGCCAAGATGCACCCTGGCAGGATGGAAGGAGAGTCTTGAAGATGACTCCTACCCATGAGCAAGAAAACCTGCCAGGATTTTGAGACTCTATGGCTGTGAACGGTATTACGATGTTACCATCATTAACACATGTCCATGAAGACAGGGCATCTTCACTGTTTCATCCCCAATATGTCAACATTGAGCCTGGCAGATGGTAAACACTAAAAAGATTGGTTGAGGGAATGGATCCACTTCTAGAAAATTTGTCACCGTGAAAAGGATGGCATCGTTACTGGGTCTTGTTCAGTTCTAGTCCCATTTCCTCATCTGTAGAAGGCTGCGTGGCTGGGCTTCAGCGAGCCAGTCATCTGATTCCAGGGCTCATACAATGGGTCTGATGGAATTCCCTAGTAGCATTCTGGGTGGAGGGTCTGATTCCCATTAGAATTCTCTAGTGCCTGTTATGTGCGTTGCCATCAATATTTGTCCTGAGTTTACAAGGGACACAGGGGGGAAAAAATCCTTGATAGCCAGCCAGCTGCATCCATAGATTTCTGAAAGATCCTGAGGCTACAGGGGAAAACAAGATGCCCTGGCACCAGAGAGAAGTGTGTTTGGAAGTCCGTTCCTTTTTATTTGCTGGGCATTAGGCCAGCAAGGTTCTATAGAACCTTTACCTGGTGTCTCTAGACAGGACACAGAGTCATGACTGTCCTCTCTGGAAAATACTTCAAAAGAATGGATAGCCTTTGATGATCAAGTAACCTCTGCTTCCTGGGGGATCATACTCAAACCTCACCACCCCAAGGGAAGGCTAAGTCTTCCCTTGCCAGTCTTCACCTATAACCCGGCCAACAGACAAGCAGGTATGCTCAAGTTCATAGCATTGTTCCTCAGCTACAGCTTCTAGGAGAGCAGGTTCCCAATGGTCCCAGTAGCCTGGCTTGAGTCACAAGTAGCCACTTTTTGCTCAGCGTCTGAAGGCCAAATAAAATGAAAGCCAACCTCTCCATTTACTTTGCAATGTATTGAGTTCGAGAGCTCTCAAGGAGAATAGAAAGAAAAAGGGATTTACCTTGGAAGTCATTTTCTTCTGATGTCTGCCACTTCCGGATTCCATTTTTGACACCTTGGAATTCTGTGGGATAACCAGGACTGGCATGAAGCTCCCTGCTAAAGGGAGAGCTCAGGGAGAGAGCCACGCTTCAGTTGTGGACTTCTCCTCGTTCAAGTGGGGTTAGTAGAGCCTGGCTATCTCAGATTGCAAGGGAGGCTGCATTTGAGGAAAGGGACGCCACCCTACTATTAAAAAAAAAACCGAACAAACCCAAAACCCACTAAAATACAATGCTAAATAGTAGGTTTCAATTGCAGTGAGGCCCCAGGAGGGAAGTTCTTCCATGCAGATGCCCATTTCCTACTTCGACATTCCCCACACATAAACATGAAAGCACTGTTCTAGAAGACACCGGCCATTCATTTTTGCCTCCTTATTTCTCTGTACCTGTTGCGTGTAGTCTCGATGTCTGCTGAAGTAGGTAGTAGGCAAAGCCTGTCTACTCCTATAGGTACGGGAAGTAACGGTTGCCTCCACTCCCAGCTTCCCTTGCAGCTAGACCATGGACATGTGAGCCCAAGATCCGGCCCACTAAGTGTACTTCTATCCTGCTCTGACAGTGATGCAATGAAAGGGAAGGGAAAGGAAGTGGTTTCACTGGAGCAACTCTGAAGTGGTAGCTGCACGGTCAAGTTCCTGGCATGGGACTGATATACATCCTGGCTGTGTTGGGCGGGGGTGGGGGGGGGTGTCACTGCAGTCAAAGTGGAAGTGCGCCTTGGTGTAACCTTTGGTAGATTTGATAGATTTCCTCATCAGACCAGCTCTGCGGCACACAGAGCAGATCAGTTCCCAGAGCTTCTGTTCCCAGAAGCTCAGCCTGGAGTCTCTGGTTCTCCACGCTTTGAACCACTCAGAAGCCCCCAGGTCCTCTTAAGCCCCCTTCCGGTTCTTCAGAGTCTTCCCAGCCACTCCCACATGATAAAAGTCTGGAGATTACCACTTGGATCGGTTCATGACATAACTCATGAAGCAGAGTTCATGAGTCACATAGACTTCTACTAGACTTGAGGCCCTTTCAGACTTGGGGCAGGCAGCTTTGGGGGGGGGGTGTCTCTCTCTTCCATGGCTACAGGACTAAGTGAACTCCTTCCTGCGTATGCTTTCTGAGCCAGTGTGGTTATAAGGAACTTGCTGAGAAAACTACATGAGAGTCCGTGAGCAAAGGGGAGAGGGCATCTGCTGGCTTTGACAGTCCAGATCCCTAGTGACCAGCTTTTCCTGTGCTCTCCTTCCTGTCCCTCGGATGCCCTTCTGACATCGGGGCCACTGGGCCTGTCTGTGTTGTGAAAGTGGCTCAGACTTCATTCTTCTGACATGGGGCTCAGGCCTTGCTTGGCAGAGGCAAGGAAGAGGCATCCTGGAGGGGATAATGGCTCTGCAGAGGGAGGGAGAATCTGGGGTTTGTTTGCAGACCTTGGAGGGCTGGGCACTTCCTTTTCCTCTACTCTGGTGCAGACCATTTGTGAACTGTTGATACAGTCCTCTCTATGGCATCTTCAAGAAAGTGCCAGTATTTATCAAGCGGAGGTGCCTTTAGCTTCAGATCATGGATATAGCTCCTAGGTGGCACATTGGTCTGGTGTCCTGGAGCTTTGACCCCTCACGGCTATTCCCAGGCCTGGTCTTCTTACTCTGAGTTTCTCTGTGTTCTTTGCTCTCTCTGTCTCTCTCTGATGGCTGAATCTTTGGGACAGATGTGATTGCAGGAGACTGGGAATTGGGGGCTCCTGGGCCTGACCACCACAGTAAGGGCACACCGTAGGGGGGATCTCATGTTGGTTCTGAGATTCTGCTCTTTCCTACCTGCAAAGACCTTGGGTGGGCTATTTTCTTTCACCCTGCAGTAAACAACTCAAGTAAACAGTCCCAGGCCTCCAATCCTCCTCAGCCCTCCGGCCTATTTCCTTTCCTTGATTGCTTTCTGACAAGCTACTGGGCCACCTCAGCCTGTAGCTGGCAGGGCACGGCTGCCCACAGGACCATCCCTTTCTGCAGGACAGTTAAGACAGCCGATAGATGCTTGCTGTGCTCTGAGGATCTGGGGAGGTGCGAGTCAAGGCAGAGCAGGACTGCGGAGGTGGGGGGGGGGGTACTTGAGGGTTGGGGTGTGTGTGGATGCCGAAGTCATTTTCTGCACTGTGGTCAGTCATCCTTCCTGAAGAAGGCATGCAGTCTAGTGCACCCAGAAGCCACCATTGCTGCAGGCTTCCTTGCGGGGGGGTGGGGGAGTGGCGAAGGGGGGAAATCCAGGACACCCCAAGGCCTCTGCACGTCTTACGGGCTTATTGAACATCCATCTTTTTTTTTTTTTTTTGAAGAACCATAGACATGCTATTTGCACTGTGCACCCTGAAAACACTCAGGCCTGCTTCCCACCCATGCTCACTCAGCACCCAATCCCTCTGTGAGTTTCCGCTTCCAAATCACCAAAGGGACACGTTTGAGCGAGCGGTGTGTGTGTGTGGGGGGGGGTGGGGACAGCGGATTTCCAACCCCCCTCCGCCCCCTGCCCCATCCTTACAGCCACCTGCACGCACCCCTGTTTTTCTCTTCCGTACCTTCTTCTCCATGTCACCTGGCTCAAGAGATGAGGAAAACCGAGGCAGGAGAGGAGACTTCAGTTGTTAAGGCCCCCCCCTGGCCCCAGGAGCTCCTTAGCTTATCCAGGCGTCGGTGTGTGCATGGGCCTGGTCCATAGTCACACACACCCACACAGAGAGAACTTGGCCGGCTGGGGGTGTACGTGTGGGGAGAGGATGGGGTCCGGGTGTCATCAGCCTGAGGCTCTGATCCCCACTGCACACCCCTCACCGTGGGGGCGGGCAGGTAACCACCACCCCACCCCTCCCGGGGACCTGTGCCCCAGGGAGTCAGCCTGGGACAATGGCCGGGCTGCGCGCAGGCAGGCGTTGCCATGGGGACCCCCGGGGTGTCCTGGGCAGCAAGTGGGGTGGGGATAAAGGAGAGGTTGGGGGGGGGTGCGCCCAGGTCTTCCTCCCCCTGCCCACCCTCCTCCTCCTCCTGGTCGGAGGGAGCCCAGCCTGGGGAGGAGGGGGGAGGTGCGTCCCCCCCCCACACACCTGGGGGGTGAACCCCGGCTTTACCTGCTCGGCGCTGCTGCAGCGGCTGCAGCCTGGCGCCCGGCTCGGCCCGCGCCCGCGGCGGCGGCGGCCGCTCCTCCGGGTGCACGATCAGCAGCATGTCGATGGCCACGGCGGCCTCGGCGCTGCCGTCCTCCTGCAGCTCCATGCGTGGCTCTGCAAAGATCTTCTCCTGTCCTCCTGCGCTGCAAATGGCCCCGGCCCCGGCCTGGCCCGGGACGCGGGGGGGGGGGGGTGGGGGGGGGGAGAAACGGGGGCCAGGGCGCGCGCGCGTGCGCGCACAGGGCGCAGGGCGCAGGGCGCGGGGAGAGGCCGCTGCACCCCCCCCCCCTCCCCATCCGATCTGTTTTGCTGACTCTGCCAAACAGGCCATTAGTGGAGGGGAGGGAAGGGGGGCTGAGGGAGGGGGGAAACTCACGCCTGGGATGGGCGCTACTCGCAGGCAGCACTGAGTCACCTTTGAAAGGAAATCCCCCCCTCCTCCACCTCCACCCCACCCCACTCCATCCTATCCCATCCCCACCCCACCCCCTTCTAGATCTGCACCCAAGCCACTGTCTCTGCACAGTAGACTTGGCGGGAAGAGGGGGGGGGCGGTTGCAGACTTGGGTTTTGCAAAGTGTCCCTCTCCCCCATCCCCACTCCCACCCACACGCCCGCCCTTCTTATTTATTTATTTATTTACTTGCACAAAAAGCACTGGTCCCCGGGCTCCAAGGACCCTCCTCCCATGTGGAGGTAGGGGTGCTGGCCTCATCTATTTCCAACTTGGGGAAGCTCTAAGCAGAGACCCTCCTTCCACACCCCCCCCCTCACACAAGACATTATACACATTGGGTAAGGATGGGGAGGGGGGGAGGGAGAGGAAGGGGGAGGGCTCCAGGTGGAGTTCCAAGGTATGTGCAGGAATGGACCAGCTTTCCCCCTTTGGCTTCATTGGGTGAGAGGGTGGGATCTTGGGAGGTTAATAGGTTTTGCTTCGCCCCTCTTTTTTCTCTAGGAGGATAGATGGGCTGGGAATTGGGGAACAGGGAATTCCCTCCCCCTCCCCACCTCCCTCCCCCCCCCCCCAGCATGGCTGCTTTACACCTACAGTGGGTGTCAAGCTAGCAGTCCTCTCCCACCTGAAGTGCAAGTATTAAAATCGCCATTCCTTTGGCTCTTGCCCTGAGGGGAAGGGAGAAGAAGGAAGGAGGGAGGGAGGGAGGGAGGAGGAGCCGGAGGCAGCTGGGACGCTGGGAGCTGTCTCTTGGCTGTCAGGGAACTGGACCTGAGAACCCCTTCTATTTTTAGCCAGGCCTGGCCTGCCCAGCCCACAACAGCAGGACGTTTGGCTGGAGGTCTGCCTATCAGGAGCATCTGCCTGGTAGCTTTTGGCACTAGGAGGAGGCCCACCCAGGGTGGGGCATAGTTCTGTCCTTTGAACTTCCATCATTGATCAATACCACCCACACCCAGGAGGCCTTGGCTTTGGGACTCGCCCCCTCTCCTCCCCCTCCCCAGGGGAGTATCCTCACAGCTCCCATCTTCTCCTTGGAACAGCCGGGGGCCCCCACGCCTCCAGGACTAGCACTGCCAGGAGACTAGCCATTTCCACTCCATTTTTCTCCCTGTAACACTTGGTGGGTGTGGAGGTCGGTGGTGGTGGTAATAAAAATGCTCCCAGGCCACGTAAGTTGTCTGGCATATAAAACATAGCAAGTGGTCCTCCGAGTGTCAGCTGTTACTCTTAGCTGGTTTTAAGGGTGAGGAAGGAGACAGGTGGAGAGACAAGTCAGTAATGGAGCTGGGGGGGGGGGGCGGGTCACACCCGAGATTCAGAAGGTCTTCTCCCAAGGCCTGTAGGCTCACAATTTGGTCTGCGTCAAGGCAGCTGAAGTATCACTGCTCAGCATCTCTATCCACTGGGCATCTTCCACTGGCTTCCAATAAAGCCGAACTGGAATCCCTAGATAGCTCAGCCTCGTGGGCACCCATGCAAGTAGAGAGAGTGACTTTCAAAGCAGGTTTCCTCATGCTAACACGAGGAGTCTCATTTCTGGCTTACGTGTGTGTAAACACACACACACACGCACACGCACACACGCACACACACACACACACACAGCACGGCCTAACTCTTTCAAGGGCGTTCTCTCTCCTCAGAAGCAGCGGTTGAGCACTTGGAGTCACAAGGGTTTTACTTCTCTTGGATTCCCTGAGGCAAGTTCCTCTCTCTTTCCTGTGGAGACACGGTGGGCAGGCCGATGCTGGATAGGGAATGGGCAGGGAAGACAGACAGGTTTTTTCTTCACGGGTGCGGCGGTACCGGTGGGGAAGACAGAGCAGGGGTGGTGGCTGTCACAGGTTGGTGGTTATAAGCGTTCACCAGAGTGGGATAATTTGTGGAAGAGCAACCTTATCAGGCCCTCATTTCCTGATTGCTTCAGCTCTTCTGGGGATGAGTGGTCTCTTACCTGGGGAGCCCCTTTCTAGAAAATCTTCTCTCTTGCTTATACTGGCTTCTCATGGGTCTGATGGCCAGCCTGGATTAGTTGCTTCTATTCCTGTGCTTTTGTTTTTGTTGTTACATCTTCCTGGAAAATCTCTTTGCATCTCCCTGGCAAGGACATTCTAGTCATCCTTGGAGCCCTCAAACCATCCCTTGCCTCTTCCCTGATGCCTTCTGAGAATGCCAGGTCTGTGGTACCATTTGTGTGTGTGTGTGTGTGTGTGTGTGTGTGTGTGTGTGCATGCACACGCACCAGTCTAGAAGCTTAATCTTGGGCCCTGGGTGCTGGCCCTGAGCTCTTTGATTCAAGGCTAGTGTTCTACCACTCAAGCCACAGCTCCGCTTCCAGATTTGGGCCTTTAATTGGAGATGAGAGTCTCACTGACTTTTGTACTACCCTGGCTAGCTTTAAACTGTGATCCTCCTATCTCAGCCTCCCGGGAAGGTAGGATTACAGGTGTGAACCACCTGTGTATTCTGTTACTTGGAACAGTCTTAACCTTTAATTCCTCCCCGCCCCAACCCACTCTTAAAAAAAAAAAAAAAGAAATTGGGATTACACTATACAGAGGTTTGCATCATGAGTTTTTCCCCTTCTCAACATGTGTTAAGAGCTTACAAAGATCTTTCCAAAGCCAAGTTAAAAAGCTGCCTCATCACCAATTACGTGGATGTACCACAATTCTCTTTCTGCTTTTTCTTACGGTTGGAGTTTTACTTCATTTTATACTGCCTACCTTTATAAATAATGGAATGATAAATAATCTGTGTGCCTACACCTTTGACCACCACATATCTGGTTATTTCCTTAGAATAGATTCTTGGAAGTGGAATTACTGAGTCAAAGGTTAGGACTATTTTAAGGCCTGGGATATATACAATGTCAAATTACTTTCCAGAAAGATTGTACCTGTCTGCAATCTCATGGGCTGTCGATGTCTGCCTTTCACTCACCATCCCAAACAGCAAATATTACCATTAGGTAAACCTTCCACATGAGGATTATTGATATGCAATATCGCTTTCTAAGGCTGATCGTATATTACCTTTGAGAATGACCTCTCTCTCTCTCTCTTTTTAAATATAAATTTACTTGCATGTGTTCATGTGTGTGAGACGTTTGGGGTCCCAGGCCCTCGTTCCTCTATCCTACTGCTTGGGCCATAACACAGTGTTTATGGAGAGAAGGAAGACTCTTCCAATCTACGGCAGGTCGTTCCTGTTTTATAGCAAACTCTCTGGGGGGAAACTCTTTGCCATACTTCTGTCCATTTTGAGCTCTCTGAGGACCGGGTCGTTGTCTGATTCTTTCTCGGATCCTCTCCGTACACCCAGCCTCTGTGCTGTATACAGGAGGTACTCAATAAATGTTTTGAGTCAAATTGGACAGAATGAGTGCTCCCAGCCAAGTAGAGATTTCTCCCTGTAGCCTGGAGGCAGAGCAGAGCCTCCCAGATTTTTGTAACCTGTCTCTTCTGTGTGTTTCCTCACAGACCTTCAGGGAATGCTGGGAGAGGGAGGTTAAATGGGGACAAGCGCCTCTCAAGATAACCTTCTAAAACATTCTAGAGCCTGAATTTGGTGGTGGTGGTGGGGCGAGGAGTTTGGTACTGGGATGGAGATGCCCAGGTCCTATGTAGTCTCGACCCCCTACTCTTACCCCAATCAGGAGCCAAAGTTGTAATTTGTGTTTTTTTTTTTTAAACCCAATTTCCACTCACAACCTTTCTGTCTGACATCTCTCCCCAATCTGCCATTAGCCATTCCTTGTCTCACTATTTCTGTTCATGACACCTTAATTGACTTTCCATATTCTCCTGTCCATAGCTCATTAAGATCCCACCTTCTTGCTCATAATCTCGTACAAATGTGGGTCGCACGTCATTCCGAACTCTTAAGCACTTGGGGTTTATACTCGAATGTATCTTGGCCTTTTCCTGGAGGATGGGAGATGATGAAAATCAATTTGTCTCTCACCACCATTTCCCAAATATCTCAAGCAATGCCAAGGGAGGTATCCAGTGGCACATGAAAGCCCATGGAGAGATTACCTCGTGGGCCTTGCCAAGTGCATATGGCTGAGCTCTCCACATGTCCCTTTGCATGTTTCTCGATGTATCCGCCTCTCTGTGTGCACAGGGCTCCGCACACCTGCTCCAGGGTCCCCTCTGGGCCCTAGAATCTGGCTTCTGTTCAGAATTCTGCAAGTCTGTCTCCAGGAACTCACCCATCACTTTGAGGCTGGATGAATGGATTTGTGTCCGTTCTGTTGACCGAGACAGGATCGAGAAGCTTAGTCTCCCAGTTGTCCCGGTGGTTTCTGACAGGGCTAGTTAACCCTAATGGATTTGCCATTCCTCACGTTTCAGTAAAAAAAGGGGGAGCCCGGGTATCTTTTACGTGCTGGGTTGACCTTTGCAGGATCCTGGCAAGGGGGGGTGGGTGAGTTGTCTAATGGAGTGATAGGGTCATGGGGATGTCTTTAGAGAGACCGAACAGAGCCACAAATTAAGCTAGAACAACCTTTCAATCATGACCGTAGACCTCCCCCAGCACCCCTCCACACCCCCCCTGCCACCAGGATCCCATTGGGTACCCCATGTTGTTTGCCCATCAGCCCCCAAGAGAGACAGGCCCAGCAGCCTGGATGGATCCCA